TTAGGGAAGGGTCTAAGGGTGTTCAGGGTCTCACTACTAGATTGGACTTGTAGTGATCTACCTGTTTACAGCCTCCCAAGAGCTGGCACGTGCCACCACACCCAGTCTCAATTGCTGTCTCAGTGCACCCTGGGGATAGGGCTGGCACTGTAGGCCTGGGGATCAAACCCCGGCCCCTGCGCCTGCTTTCAGGCACTTTAATCCCCTGAGCTATTTGGCCACCCCTTGGTATTACTTTTGAAGTATTAGATTTTCCTACCTTTACCCTTTTTATCTTAAAATTTTTAACAATATTTTAAATTTTCATTTTTGAAATGAATCATTTCATATGTAAATGTCTATTTATTTGAAAGAATAAAACCAATAATGCATTTTGCTCTATTCCATCTCCAGGACTATTCATTTTTGTCAATTTCTTGACTATTTCCAAAATAATTACATAACTAAAAGAACGATTGTGTTATGATGTCTAAATAGCATTTTGGAGAATGATGCCAAAGATTACCTAATTTGGTTTAGATTACTATAAGATCATTGGTTTACTGTATATCCCTTGCCCTCAAAATGCTTATATAGAGGAAGTGGCTTATAGAACTTGCACAACTTCTGTAAAAAGTCACTTGCAACACTGCAGAAAAATTTTGGGGCATTATAGAAAAAAGTTGGGGGGGCCAGAGAGATAGCTCAGTAGAATGCGCAAGGGCCTGAGTTCAATTCCCGGTTCCGCCAAAAAAAAAAAAAGAAAAGAAAAGAAAAGAAAAGATAAAATAAAATAAAATAAAATAAAATAAAAAGATTTGACAAAGCAGAGTCAGTAGCCATAATTTTACGAAAGCTAACACAAATGTCAGGTGTGATCCTGCTCACATGTAACCTCAACTTTTGGACAATCATCATGAGTTCCTGGCCATCCTGGATTACAGAGGGAGTTCAGGTCCAACCTGAACTGTAAAGTAAACTCCGTCTCCAAACAAACAAAGCTAATGTAAATCAGTAAAAAACACTATGTTAGAAAGATGGGTTAAGGGAATAACTACCTAAACTAAATCTAATGATTAATCAATGATTACCATATAGTTCATTGAAATCATTTTTATGTTGAATGGATGGGAATTAATCATAAATGTAAAAATACATATATGATTTTCTAAACTATGCAGAACAATTTTCTAAAAAATTCAAATTACTTCTGGTTAATAGGATTTTGAGTAAGTTTATATTTTATACTTACCTGTTTCAAATTGTTTTATAAAAGTGATAATGTGCCCTTGTGATAAAAAGCCAAGATGAATGATGTAGTTAGTAAATGAATTCAAAAATCTGAGAAGATGGCATTGTATACTGCACCTGTAATCCTAACTCTTGGTAGGCTGAAAACAGGAGGATCACTACAAGTATGATCTATGTAGCGAGACCCTGTAGACGCTGTACTAAATACATAGAAAAAAAAAAAGAACAAAAAAAAAAACTGAGAAGAGCACAGTGAAGATTCAGTATTGAGAAAGTTCCCAAAGGACTATGACACTTGAAACCTAGGCCTTGTAAAATTTATATATGATAGGGAGGGTGCTGACATTGCATATTAGGTAGTATGAAGTGTTAAGACCAATAGAATAGGAGCGACAGTGCTGCAGTGGTAGAGGGGCTAGAAATGTACGCCCCATTAGAGTATTCTCTTGTTGATAGGGCCAGGTTTTGATAACCTTTGAAAGTCTAGCATGCATAGCATTGCATATTTGTGATATGATTGACATTTTCTATAAAAGTAGTGGTTTGCTTGCTTTGAGAAGAGGCTACATGGTATAGGGATCAATAACAGGTTTTGGTGTCAGACAAGGTTGAAGTTCAGTTTACTTGTAATGTATGTGACCACAGACAAGCTGCTTGCACTCAGGTGACCAGCTGTCACATCCATAACAAGGGGTAATAGGGTCTACTATTTGGATTGTGGTGAAGAGGAAGTGAAATAATGCAAATAATGTGTGTTGTGTGCTGACATTTGTTAAGTATGCAATAAATATTAATAATAGCCTTGTTTGGGAAGAGAAAAGTTTGGATGTAAGGAAAATAAATAGGCTTGAAATAGAAATTTGAAGTGAGGATGAGAACATTCATCTATTAATTATGAAAAATACACTTTTCATCTTCCTCAGCATTTTTCCTAACCTTTGTGTTTATCTTGCTTGCCTATATTCCCGGGGGGGGGGGGGTTTTTTATTTAATAGAGCACTGACTGAAAACTATCTCACATATTCCTTATCATGTCTTTCTGTGTTTCTATGTCAGTCTCTACTACATCAGTTTCTTTATTGAAAACAGAAAATGTTCTGTGTGTTCTATCTTTTAGAATGTGAGCCTAAAGGAGAATTGGAGGAGGTATCTGCTCAAAACCGTGATGTTTTTATGGAAGAATTAACTTTAGAGAAAATAATAGAAGAATGCTTCAAGGATGATGGTTGTGGCCTGATGGCAGAATTCCAGAAACGTTACAGCAAATCCAAGGAAGACCATAGCAAACAACAACATTCAAAAGGATCACTTACAGAAAAGGAAGCTCACAGGAAAAGTAATATGGGTGAAATAGTAGACCCAGAAAAGAGCCCCTTTCGAAAGAAACTCAAATGGACTGCTGACAATCTTAAACATCTGAAATCCTTCTTAAAAAACAAGCCTAAGAAGTATAATGAATGCAAGAAACCCTTCAGTTTTCATTCAGGTGCTGGTCTGAACTACAAAGAAAATACTGCAGAAAAGTCAAAGAAACACAGTGAAGCTGGAAAGGGCCCTACTCACTCTTCATCTCTTACTGAACATCAGAAAAACAAAAAAATTCATTCAGAAAATAGATCCCAACATCAGAAAAACAAGAAAATTTGTTCAGGAAATAGAACCCAGAAGTGCAGTAACTGTGGGGTAGCATTTACACAAAGTTTATCCCATTCGAAGACAGAAAACTCTACCTGTGAAAAATGTTACAAGAAATTACATCAAGATGGAACCTCAAAGAAAGATGATGAAACTAAAACTGTTAAAACTACTCATAAATGTAGTAAATGTGGAAAAGGTTTTTGCTGTCGTGTACCCCCCAGCAAACACAAACCTGACACTGGAGAGAAACCTGGTATATGTATTGAATGTAGAAAAACTCGTAGTAGTAGTTCATCACACAAGCCACCTCCCAAAAAGAAGAAGAATATAAACAAACCCTACAAATGTGAACACTGTGAAAAAGGCTTCACCCTGTTGACCGATTTTATTAAGCATAAAAGAATTCATACTGGGGAAAAACCTTTTAAGTGCAAAAATTGTGGGCGAGCCTTCAGTGACAGTTCATCTCTTTCTCAACACAACCGAACTCATACTGGAGAAAAACCTTATAAATGTAATGATTGTGGGAAATCCTTCACTCATAGCTCTTCCCTTGCCAAACATCAGAGAATTCATACTGGAGAGAAACCATACACATGTGATGAATGTGGACAAGCCTTTAGACAGGCTTCTTGCCTTAAACGACATCAGAGAAGTCACAGTGGAGAAAAACCATATTCGTGTAATGATTGTGGTGTGAAGTTTACCCTTTTCTCATCTCTAGTATATCATCAAAGACTTCATAGAGGAGAAAAACCCTACAAATGTGACCAATGTGAGAAAGCCTTTGGTGCCCTTTCCCTACTTACTCGTCATGTGAGAAGCCATACAGGTGTGAATCCGTACAAATGTAAAGACTGTGGGAAAACTTTCAGGCAGAGTTCATCTCTTAATAAACATTACCGAACTCATACTGGAGAGAAACCCTATGTATGTGACTTTTGTGGAGCAAGCTTTAGTCGGAGCTCAACCCTTGTAGAACATGTAAAAATTCATACCAGAACAAGTGACTATGAATGTAATAAATGTGACAAAAAATTTAAAAGTACTTCAGGCCTTTTCAGACACAAGGCGTCTCACGCTGCAGAGTAGTTCTGCAAGTACAATGAGATATTCATCCCTCTTCATTTCAAGGATGTCACCTGCTGATAAATAATAATAGAGTTGATAAAGCTATGTAGAAAGTGAAAAAAAAAAAAAAAAAAAGGAATCCTCAACTTTAACTCAAACTTTTAATTTCAAACTTGGGTTTCTTTAGAGGATTTCCTTCTCTGGCCCCTCTTCCAATGTCATGGATTGAGAAACAGAGCTTGACTCACATTACCTGGG